GCTGCCCGGGGCGCGGCCCGTGAAGCGGCGGGGCACGGCCAACCGCAAGGAGCGGCGCAGGACTCAGAGCATCAACAGCGCCTTCGCCGAGCTGCGCGAGTGCATCCCCAACGTGCCGGCCGACACCAAGCTGTCCAAGATCAAGACCCTGCGCTTGGCCACCAGCTACATCGCCTACCTCATGGACCTGCTGGCCAAGGACGACCAGCACGGCGAGGCCGAGGCCTTCAAGGCCGAGATCAAGAAGACGGACGTCAAGGAGGAGAAGAGGAAGAAGGAGCTGGTCAGTCCCGGCCCGGGGGGTGGGGAGCGGGTCCTCCCCCGCCTGCATCAGCCCCGGGGGCCGCGGCAGGGTCCTGCTTCCCCGCCGCGGTGCCCGTGACCCGGCCCGGCCCACCTGCCCCTGAGCCCCCGGAGGAGCCCGCTTCCGCCTAGCTCTTCCCGGCAAAGCCCAGGGGCTGCCTCGAGCCTTCCCCAGCCAGCTCCTCCCCCCCCCTAGATTAAAAAAAGAAGTAGCAGCAGCTCGCATTTAATTTCTGGAGGCTGTAAAGAGCCTTGCAATGCTCCGGGGAGGGAATCAGCCTGTCCTGGCTACTTAAAGAAAGGGAAGCCTGCGGGAAGGGTCGGGGGAGAAAGCCCGAGCTGTCCTTTCGTTTATCAATCCAGATGGCTCATCTAGCTCCGGGGAGCCTGCGTGCGTCCCTGCTTTGCTCGTGCGGGACAAGGGGAGGGTGCGCTCCCTTCGGCAGGCCTGGTGCTGGGCTGTTACGGGGCACGTTACGTCGGGAGAGGCCCTCGCCAAGACGTGCAAGCCTTCGGCCTGCGAGCAGCTAGAGTCTCGAGGCGATCGCGGACCTGTTAGGGAAGCGGGGCTCCCGGCAGGGCAACGGGCCACTGAGCGCCCATGTGTGTGCGCAGAAATATAATGCGCGTTTGCAACCAGCTGCCCCCCCCCTCCCCTCGAGATCCGATGGGCCAAGGCTGCGAGGAGCAGGATGGGATCTTGGAGAGGTGCTGAATCTGGGTCCGTGGCACCAAGGAGTGCTGATCAAACGGGTGAAGGGGCGCGCTTCCGGACTGCACCCAGCCAGCCTAGCGATGCAAAGCCAAGGGGGAAATAAAGCACCCGAAGCCGCCTAGCAAAGGCCCGGGCCCAGGCGCCGGCTGCTCCCTGTCGCTGCCAGGCCTCCGAGTCGGGCTGGAGTTGAGACTGGCGCTGAATCGGAGCAGGGCCGAGCCGAGCTGCAGGGCCCTTGGGTCCAGATCTCTGCCCGCGGCTCTAGGCTTGAGGGGGCGGCGTAAAGGAGGTGATCTAGAGGGGGAAAGCCCATAATGAGCTAACCCCTCGCTCTGTTTCTCTCCTCTGTCAACGCAGAACGAGATCTTGAAAAGCACAGTGAGCAGCAACGATAAGAAAACCAAAGGGAGGACTGGCTGGCCGCAGCACGTCTGGGCTTTGGAGCTCAAGCAGTGAGGAAGAACTCGAGGAGCTCACCGTCTCCTCCTCCTCCTCCTGGACTCGTGAGAGAGCTCTGATCCGAGGACTCTTTGTGTTTGGAATCATCCAGTTAATTTATGTGCAATTTCCCCCCACTCCCTCCACCATGTGGATATCCGAAGACAAAGCATTCCATATTTTAATATGAAGAGGAAGCGCCAGCTTGGTAAGGGGTAAAGTCTCAATAGTTTCCTGAATGTGATTGCTCTGTACAGACCCCACGGGTAAAGATAGAAAAGGGGGAGGCGGGGGGAAAGGACTCCCTGGCATTAGTGTGTATGTGAAGTGTATCTCTAATTCTGGCCCTTTTTGGATATAAATATTCATGGGATTCTAAAGTTATATTTCAGCAGAAACAGTTGCACCAGTGCTCCAGCTGACTTGGTATTTAGTGTCGTCATTTTGTTGTGGTCGTTCAGTATTGGCAGATGTTTTCAACAGTTATTTGTTATGTGCACTTCCGTCCTTAAGGAAAAGAAGAAGAAAGTGGAGTTTAATTAATATTGAAGGTGTAAACGTTGTAAGTATTCAATAAACCACTGTGTGTGTTTTTTTTTTTTTTTTTTTTTTTTTTAAAAAAAAAAAAAAAAATTTTT